ATAAGAATGTGATTCTGTTCCACAGTGGAACAAGATATGTATTTTTTTTCTTAATGGATTGCACTGAGTGAGAGACAGGGACGAGAATGGGGTGGTGTAAAATAGATGGTTTTGCTTGCTGATAAAGGAATTTCAGAAAAGGAGGGAGGCATACTGAAAAAAGGAAGGGGAAGATTACTCCTACTTCATTACTGAAAACCAGGAGAGAACAAAACTGGTTCCTTTTATCCTTTCAAACACATATTTGAGATTACTGGTGTGGGAGACTGGCTTTTTTTTTCTTGGACAGCATTAAGGAATAGCTGGAAAGAAAACCTATGCAGTAACAACCAACAAGTGATAGTCAGGGACTTGTACTCTCTTCTCATTGTTGGCACAATGACTATTGATAAAGCAACCATTCTTCTAGTCAAAGAAGAAGAAGAAAAAATAAACAACTAGAAAACAAACATTAAATATAATGCACATACAGACTATACCAAGTGCTATGCAATTCTTCTTCTGCTCTGAATAATTTTAATGCACATAAATTATTTTCTCTTTCCATATACCAATGGGGTGGCATCACACTGGATGACAGAACATGGATCAAGGTTACTTATACGGGCCAACTCCACCTAAGTACAACAAACTTCTGATCACCAATTGGGTCATTCCTCCCAGCAGAACAGCTGCTTAGGGGAAGCAGACCAATAAGTACGTAAAATTCTGCTACTGGTAATTCCAGTATAGGACTGTTAGAAGAACACACAAAACACATAATCCTAACCTATCTCCACCAGTATTACTAAAACTTGCAATTTCATTAAGTTTCAAAACATCTGGTGATAGCCTGAATGTCCCAGCTTGTGAAAAATGTAGTATTTTAAAGCCTGACGCAGGGAAGCCTGATACCTATCCATAAAAGACATTTCAGTGAAGCAGTATCCTGAGAAGGTTGTATTGGTCTTGCATCAGACACACTGCCGCATTTCCAGGATATATACCCAAATTCTTGACCTGCGTTGTTTCTGATGAAGACAGAGTCAGTAATCTCTCTACTTACAATGTCTATATTAGGTTACTATAAATCACGGATTTATGACAAATGAGATAAATATTCCCAAAATACCTTTTGGCAAAATGCTTTTGGACTGCAGTTTTGCCAGATTTTTATTTGTCTGCAAAATTGTCAGTCTATAGTGTACAGAGACATCGTTTAGGTTCTCTCATACTACACAAAAATGCTTTGATGTGTAGCTTATTTGTATAGGTTGTGCATATCAGTGACTCTCAAACTTCTTATTTGTGCTCATGAACTTCCACACAGGCAACTCTTAAAAATCTGTGGAGTTTGGTATATAACCTCTGGAGCTTCTCTCTGTCACCCACAAGGTAGGCAACAGAATTCTGTAATCCCTCGTTTTTTGGACTACATTTGCCCATTTTGAAAGACTATTAAAAGAATAGGTTTTACAGGTTAAGATTACTGGCTTGGATTTATTTCTAAACAAAGTATTTATCTGATTCCTCAAAATATGGTAGCATGAAATTTAAAACCTTCAGTTAGTTGCTGAAGTTGGATTTTACATGTCCTATTGCCTTATTACAAGGAGACCACAAGTCCCAGTGGTACAATGCTAGCGGTAAGAACTATCTAGTAATCGTGACATCCAAATTGGCTGGGACTGCATAACCCAATACTACCAAACTGTTGTCACTTCTACATGCTGAAGCTTGTGAGATTTTATAAACCAAATAGAAATGATTTACTGACAAACAGAAAGCAAATGATTAATAGTGTACTTCATTTTTGTAATACAGAGCAGAAAAGAGCAAGTGATGCTAATCTGAAGAAATAATTTCATAGTGTGTCAGAAGTATGATTTCTATTAGAAATGCACAAATTTATGCCATGCAGAGCTTCCAAATTCACAGAAAAATTATTATAAAAAGTGAAGTCCTGCTGTGTCAAATATGCCACACAATTTTTGTTCTGAAAAGAGCTATTTAGGTTAGGGCGTGACTTTTCTCGGATATAGCTGTGCTAGTACAACCCCTAGTGTGGGCAGAGTTTACTGCCATGAAGGCATTACATCGATATAACTTACAAAGCTTGTTCCTAAGAAGGAAAAGTATTAAGACAGACACTCATTTCAGCACATCTACATCCACAATGGGAGGGCTGACAGAGAAAAAGAGAGGGCAGAAGGTTATGCTACTTTATAACATGACGGGCCAGATGAACAGATGCAGTTTTTGTGCGATACATGTCCTTCTCCCCCCTCCCTCCATATTCCTAATGTTAATCACGATCATGATAGATGATATTGCAAAACACTTATTCAATTTAAATGGTATCACTGCTTATTCCTTCTTCATTATTATTCCAAGAAATATTCACATCAAATATTAATAACAGGTAAGCAGACCAAGGTGCCAATATTAATTATTAGCCTTAACTAAAGATATGAAAAGAGATATTAGAACGAAAGAGAGTAAGACCAAAGAAATATACTGCCTTCAATTTTCCTAAATGATACAAATTCAGTTTTGAAGAACTTCATAAACATCAGTGTAAATACATACCTGTATTTACTGACATGTAAGAGTACGTATCTCATGCTCCTAAACTGTACAGGCTGATTTCTACCTATTCTGAGACACCTGAATAACTTCAATCCCTTTTTAAAAGCCACTACATATAAACTAAAATACACCTTAAAAAGTAAAATTTATCCACAGCACAATTAAAAATACAATCATACCTTAAGAAACAGTAAACTCGCTTTCAATACATCTAAAGATATTCTGAAACAGGATTCTTAGCTTTTAAAACAGAAAAATGCACCATTTAATATAGAACAGCATGACAATATTAATACATTATTGTTTCTCTACTTTTAGAAAATAAATATGTATTTATTATGAACAGATGGTGGCCAAGGAAGGTATCAACTCCCTCTCTTAGCCAGAAGGTCAGGTCATGGATGAGAAACCAAAGAACAATTACTATTTGCTATTCAGTGCCATATAAGATGAAACATTTTAGGTTTTTCTTCAAATACAAAGCTAGATGCGATTGAGCTGTTTTCATTTCATTTAAATTAGATAGTTTGCAATGACTTATTAACATTTGTTAAAATTTGATTAAAAAAAAAAACAAACCACCAAACCAAAACAAAACCAACACCCAACCCTTCCCCATCCCACTCCCTCCCCCCAAAGAAATCCCCAAACCCCAAAACATACACACACTCTTTTGGGCTGCCTTTTGACATAATAAATAATATTAGGACCTATACAGAACTTTCTTGGTTACTATAGCCACAGCTGTAAACCAGCTGCTAGATGCTGAACCTGAGAATTTCAAAATAGATTGTTTTCTTTTTTCTAAGGAACCAACAATCATTTTTTAACAACATACTTGTAATTACATAATTACTGAATTACTCTAATAATCTTTGCTGATAGGAACTGCTCCAACCACCCCCCATCACTTCACTTTAATTGTATCAAATTATAAATCACCACATTTTGGTGTATTCATTCCCACACTGAATAAAACACCAGTATGTCGATACATGAGGTTAAAATATTTTGTGAAATTTTGCAATTTCTTCAAAAGGCAATCCTGAAGCAAGTTGGAGAACAGGATTTAAAATCCAAGATACTTCTTCAAATATCTTATTAAACACATCCTGTTTTATCTGTATGCCAAGATTATGCCAACTCTCTTATCTGTGATATCTGTCAAGACACAGACGACAAGCCTGTTTTTTGTTTTTTAAAGTGTCCTAGGGCCTAAAGGATGCAGGAGTGAAAAAAAAAAAAGCCAACCCTGAAAACAAAATGCTCTAGGGCCCCTGTTGTTCTGCGCTGTAGGATTTTCCTATACATATTGAAGAGTTATTTCATCTAATACCCTTCTCTTTCGGATTTTACATATCTTTTAATTATAATTTTAAATTCATTTACTTCCAGCAAAAGCTTGTGCTTTATTAAGTTAATAAACTTAGTGTCCTACATGAAGAATTTGGGGAACTGGTAAATAAAAATATAGCTTTAGAAATTTTTCCCTACGTGTATTCTTACACAGGGACAGATTTGTCCACTTATTTACAAGAAAAAGGAATGATTTAAAGCCTGTTGGATAGGCTGTTCTAATAACAAAATGCGTATAAAAAAATTATCCTCACGTGCATCTTATACATCTGTGTATTCAGAAGACACCCACTCTCATGTGCAAATCACAATTTATGCAGGAGTAACTGGAAGTTTGAATACCTAGAGAAAAACGGATAGAACCTCAACAAAAAGGGCACTTCAAAAGATGCAGATTACACCTGTTCAAGCTGTTTGCCAAGTATGTCGCAGGTTACTCTAATAATATTTCCTGCTGCATGGGATGTTTTGTCTCAGACTACCAGTAAGGCATATACTGGTTTTCATATTATTGCAAAACACATTTTTAGATAAGCAACAATTAATGCCTACTGGATTTTTTTTTCCAAGAAGGTTATTTTTGTTTTCCTTTTTTTTTTTTTTTCTCCTCCTTAACTTTTCTATGAATCCCAGCATTAATTACCTTAAACCTTTAAAGAAACTAAGATAAATGACTTTCATTTTTGGTTTAGTTCGGTTACACTCAGAATCTTTAATGTTTTGTCAGGCTGCAAATATACATAATAATGTGTGGATTTATGTGTGAGAAAAAGTGTATAAACATATGTATACAGTACATACAATTTAAGTACGTTGTATGACTACATACGATAGAGTAATTCTGTATGAAAGCATGGGATGAGTATTATGTAAAACTGAACATACCAGGGCTGCAAACAAGAATCAGATAGCCAAGAGGTATTTATTTAACAGTAATAGCTGGCTTGTTGCCATTAATTTAGAAACCATTTAACAGTAATAAATGACCACTATCAGAAAAACGAATCATTCCAGCTTCCGAAATAACCCTACTTAGACTTCTAATAACTGCAAAGTTAAGCAGTATTATCTCTTACCTGGTCCTTAATTTCAAGCTCCCTTATAGTTTTTGTTCTGTACTCCCTGAGCTCCTTTTCTGCCTCATCCTTCTTCATTTTGGTTTGATTCAACTGATAGCGCATTTCTCCACACACCTGTTAGATTAGACAGACAACACGAGCTGCAGCTTGAAGACTCCACAGCCCAGGGTTTGCAATTAGATCTTTTGGTGCCCTCTAGAGGTTATTTTAAATTCAACATATTTTAATTCCCAGATATTTTAAGCCTACATATGGTAAATGTTTGTATAGAAAAAGGTGGATCTGAATTCTCTATATAGTCATTAACTTTGAAATATGCAGTGCCTTCTAGATTCAATTCTATTTGGACTGAGATTTTGCTAAGTATAAATATTTATGTTGTAAATATATATGCTACTAAATACAGTTAAACTACAGTTGCTGGTTTTATATTCTTCTTTCATTCTCTCTAAAATCCCAAAGAAGTCTATGTCAACACTTTCAAAACCTACGAATAAAGGAAGTATCACACTCCTATATAAAAGGGCGTAGTTTCTTATTGAGCCAATTTTCCACTGTTAAGAAAGAAAATGTTTAGATGTTAATATAATAATTTTCAAAGTCAGATCAGAACATACAAGCCTTAGTACAAACTGAAGATAAATTCTTTAAAAAGCAATGCCTAATTCAAATATATTGCATGGGCCAGAAAATAGGGATCAATGCAACATTTAAAGAAATCTAGTATAACTTCCACGAAGGAAACAATTATTCTCTGCTGTTGGGATGTTTATTATGTTACCTCTTCATTCCTTTCCACCTGAAGGCAGCTCAACTTCAGAGGGCCTGGGAGGGGTTAGGGGAATGAAAGAGAAAGTAACAAACCCCCACACTAATTCCTCTGACATAACTTTTCACTACTGCTGTGAAGGGATGTTATTCTCCCCTTTCCCAATCTAAGACTTTTAAAGGATTCTATTTGATCTTACCTGTTGGAAATAGAGAAGGATGGTGGACAAGCCGTCTCCTTTTTGTCCTTATCACGTGCAATCGCCTCCAATTTGTGACAGGTCATTTTACTTTAATTAACCAAACAAATACAGTCACATTCTCTAATGAGAATGCAAATGTGTTTATCCACAGCTACTCTTGGAGAACTTTCTTTCCAACTCACTCTGCTTCCCTACTCCACTTCCATACTTTCACCAGACTTGTTTCCTAGATGTGTACACTTGTGATTTCTGCTAGCGTCCTCTGTACTTCTCAGCAATCTCCTCATACACATTCTACAACCCAAATTAATTTCTATTTTTCAGTCTCATATCTCTTCTCATTTTCATTACTACTTTTTTTTTTCCTTCTTAAAAAAAGGTTAGGGTAAATGTAAATACACATACTGCAATCAAATCACCTTTGGAGAAAACAAAACCAATGGTCGTAACTTTAAGATGCAGCATCACTTAAGAATTCACAGGACAGCTTGTGAATTTAGCCCTGTTGCAAATAATGCAAGGTAGCAAATGCTCTGCAGAATGGCAGAGTTCTAAAGTATTATCTTTTTTTAATACTGAAATATCACATGCAACTAAAAAAATCCTAAGATGCACCTGCATGGATTGTCAACCCTGCCTTTATGTCCCCCTTTCCTTACATGAAGGATGTAACAAAGTGATAGATGTCACTTCCTCCAGCAAAATAAAATAAAATAAAAAAATACAGCCATCCTTGCCTTCAGCTCCCCCCTAACAACCCACGAAGTGAGTAACGCAGAAGAATCAGCAGATGGTGCTGTCCTAATAATGGATTTTTCAGTCTCCTCCTAGTTCAGAATGAAGGAAAAACTCTCATTCCAAACTCTTCTCCTTGACCTATGGTACACTCAGAAAAAAAGATTTCAGATAAAACTCAAAAGGGAAAATGTTGCTATTTGCCGTTTTTAATAATGGCAAACAAAATTTGGAAACAAGGAGTCAGACTGACAAGCAGATCCAGATGTCACTTCCATAGTCAATGAAAGAGGTCAGGGTGATGCACATAGTCCTGACAGCTCAGTGGTCAGGGCCTTCCTTCAGGATGTTTGAGACTTCCCAGTTCAGAATAGGGACACACATGCAGTTTTCCAGTCTCTCAGGACAGTGCAAAAAAATCAGCATAGACTACTGAAAGGTGGCCACCTAGTCAACTTTGTAGAGGTTAACAATAACTGAAGCAAGGACTGGATGACAGTGTCACCACTCCTAGGAGTTTGTTTCAAATTGGTAGGCTATAAATTTGTTCTTCCCAGACAAATGGATATTCATACATACTACGTTCCTTTACCCTGTAAGTAGCGTTAAGTCATCTGTGAACCCAGTCTGAAAAAGCAAAAGTGTGTTTCAGAAAGGGTAAATCAAACCGTTTTGACATTCTTAAAATGCTCCCTCATTTGTCTTTCAGCTGAAATTGAATTAGATTTTATAAGAAGTTTGGAACACTTTTTGCTGTACCTTCTCTGAAATAGTTTCACTTACTTATACTGGCAGGAACAGCAAAGGAAGACAGGAACTGATAAAAATGTCTCCAGAAGTCTGTAGAGGCCTAAAGAATTAATTGCTTGCCAAAACCTTGCCGTTAACAACTGAGGTGGTAGGATTTGGCCTATGTTTATTGGTAAGATATACAGCCATTTCAAGAGGCTGTAACAAATCTGAATTCTCAGATTGCCTATTCAATAAAAATTTAGCATCCCCTCATCTTCATGAAGTTGAAGTTATTTCTGTAACAAGTGAATGATGAAACTAAGATAAAAAAATAATCACTTTAACAATGTGTCATCCCCTAGCATAAGTTCTGGATGGCAACTGTTTTTTCTTTCTCATGTTATGACTCACACTAAGGCTCTACTTGAGGAATGATCTCTCTGTAAAATGCATACCACCAATATTAATGAATACGCAGTACACCCCATACAAATTCTACATAAAAGTACCTGAAACGCAGTGATTTGATACAGCTCCTTTATTTTAGCACTACATATCCCATTTAGCAATTACAGGGCAGGGTTGAATACTACATTGTCTCATTCATAACAAATGAAATTTTTAATGAAACATCGGATTGCAGTTTTAAACAGTGATTTAAATTGTGTGTCTGGGATTCAGATGAAGTTTACATTTATCATATATTCTTTACCAATGCAGAAAGAAAAAAATTCTCATCTTTCAGGTCACAGTGTTAAGAAAAACCAAGCTCAACCCTCATTTATAAATGTGCCTACCTTATTCATCTCCATATCATGAGATGCAAGCTGGTGTTGTGATTCTTCTAACTGGTTAACTAGAGAGGTTTTTTCCCTTGTAATTCTCTCTACCTGAGCCTCCAACATGGCCACATTCTCAGACATGGCCGTCACCTGCAAAAAGCCCAAGAACATTGTCATGACACAGTTTGACCAACCAACCACAGACGTAAATCTTGTGGGACTTCCTTCATGAAAGCAACTGTATGCAGCCAAAATACATAGCATTAAAAATAATAAAGAATATATACAATAAAAAAAAAATTAAAAATATAACAGAATATGGCTACATAGCAGTAGGTTCGTTATTTTGAATTAATTTATCATATGGTAGTTTATTTGAAACTTTTTATAAATCAGACTGATCTCCAGGACTTGTTAGCATGGACTAAGTGTCAGAAGCAGCTGGTTACATTAATCTTGCATCTTTTAGAGTACTATTTAACATCATCTTATCCATCCTCATGTAGACTGATTTAAACCAAATCATGTTCCCCCAGCTAAAGAAAACTCATCACAACCACGTATATTAAACTGATTGTCAAGTTCAGAAAACATTTCAGCACTATAGATCAAAGCACGATCTTATATAAAATATATATAGAAACAGTATATTAAAACTGCTAATGTAATTCAGATCAAATTTTGCTGAATGGTAAAAAAAAATGTAACAATAAAACAGAGACACTGACCCTTCAGCTACTTAGCCCTGAGGCTTACTAATATAAGTGGAAATAATGGTGCCTGACAGTTCTAGGTTAACTTACAGGACTTCAAAGCCAAACCTACAGGATTATATATTCGTAATTATTTTTTCACCCATTATAGATCCACCTGATTATGTATCAGGCCAATTCTCCCCTTCAAACAAATCACTTAATAAATTAGGTGATAAAATATTCATATGGAGGTTGACTTGATGTACAGTATACCATTTCTACCATCTCATAATCCTGAAACATAAAAAGCAGTTTATCATACATAGGTGTAAATCATGCATATAGATCATAGTTTTCTAAAAAGTCATCTCATATCTTTACTTACCAAGTGTGACATCACCACAGTGTCACTGTGTGTTTTTTAGTGTGTATGTAGGGTTTAGAATAAGGACTACAGCTAGTCAAAGTGGGAATCCGTTCCAGTAAAACACATCTCAGTGAGTGACGAAATACTAAGTAATGTGGTGACACCAAGGGGTGAATTATTCTACCAAAAGAAGATACGAAATGCTTGTCTAATAGGCTGTATTTTAGAGTGCATACTCTTCTGTAAATAAAATGTGTAACTAAACAACTAAATGCATGAGAGAGAGCTTCCAATATGTAGCAAGGATTTAAAGAAGGAATTGCTTAATAATGTCTCATTGTCTCTAGATTTCTAATGATGACTTACAAGAGTTCACTTGCTTAAATAAGACTTAGCCCTTATCACTGTGCTTAAGTTCTTTTTTAATATCTAGAGCTGGAGTCAAAGGTTTTGACTTCCTATAGCAGCTTTAGAACATTATTCCACCATCCCATAATACAGAAATAGAACCCTATCACCGTGATTCCCTATGTTAGTAGCTGTCCAGCTATTTCACAAGCAACAACACTGCTAAAGATCCTCCTCTTCTTTTAAACATTTAAATACTATGCTGTTCAGTCTGTGCTCTCCATGTTTTATAAACTGTATGGCTTATTTCTAAAGGGAGCCCCAAACATGGAAAAATCCCATAATCAAAGGAGAACATCACTATATTGTTTCCAAACCCCCGCCAGAAAAAGGCTGAAGAGGTTAAACATCAAACAAGCATGAAAACTACTAATTCATGGAGCATTTCTCTCCCTAAACTTCTCCCCATTTCTTTCTCCACCTTGGAAGTGCCTCTACCATCACATCTCACAGGCTTACTGCTGTTAACATGAGCTTTCCTCTGTAGATTCACTGGGCAGAAAACCCTTATGTTTCATACTCCAGTGCTACTAGCATCTAAAGACATCTAAAATCTAACGCAGGCTAAAGAAATCTAAAACAAGATTATGAAGATTCTGTTGCAATGGTCACAGTATAAATGATGAGACAGATTCTGTCTCAAAGAATTTATAAACATCAGTAAAAGTGAGCAAACAGATTCCAAGACATTTCTGCAGATGAGCAAATTAAGCATATGATAAGATCACTCTGAAAAATAACATATTAGAATGCAATTATGAAATTTCAAGATTTATATATATGTATATGTAAGCTCAAAGTAGCAAAGAATCCTAAATCTGACACACACTAACTTCCGAATGCTTGACTTGGCAACCTAAACACTAACCTTTATGAGAATCTAGGTACAAACCTTGCATCACATATTACTTAACCCTTTCCTGCTTTGGCAAAGTGCATTAGAAAATATTATGCAAACTAAACTGAGTGCATAACATCAACAACTTAGTATGTATCTAGTGACATAGCATGAACCCCAGTTACAGAGACTCAAAGGCTCACTTATCTACCACTGCTTTAAAGCCATGGTAGATGTGATTTACTGAGCTCTCAAACAGAAAACTGATACGAAATAAAAAAAAACATACTCACTGCAATGCACAAATAGAGAAAACCCAACTCATACCATTGCTGCCAAGTCCTCCCTTTCCTTCTTCATTTCTTCCCGCAGTGCTTCTTTTTCATCAGCCCTCTTACTTAGCTGGGAAGCTAACTCCCTTTCAAGACGATTCTTCTGCCGTTCCATCTCGCTTTTCAGCTGCTCACACTGGACTAGAGCCTAGAAAAAACCCACTATTTTAAGTGGAAGAAATCCAAATTTTTAAACAGACATGCTATCTATCTAATGCCAGAGAACCCGATTTTCTATTAGAAAGAGTATATTATTATTTTTTTTTTTTTACATTGCTATTATGACGTTTACACATACTCCACTGTGTTAACATCTAGAATAGAACAAATTGAAAACAGATGACATGGTTGTATGTATAAACATGCCCTACTGTAATTATAAATCTATTGGATTTTAAAAGTCACAGAAAAGATGGAAGGATTTTATGAAGCTTATTTTCCAAATAGGTAGCTGTTCTTCTAAAACTAAGATGATTATTTGCCTTGCATTTAAGATTCATGAATGTACAACACTAGAACCAGCCTCCAGTATTTATCTCATTGGAAACAGTGGTTACTGCCTAACTCCAGAGATGAAGGAAAAATAAACAAACAGTATATGATTTCTACCTTCCCCACCCCGAAGTTAATTACTGAGTGCAGAAGGCTAAGAAGAAACCTGGAAGATGTAAGTAAAGATTAAAAAGAAGGTTTTTTTGTAAGTTTCAGGTTTGTCAAATAAAGACAACTAGGTCTACCAAAAAAACCTGAGTGCCCTGCTTAACCTAAAGTGCTAAAACACTGGTTATATGTGTATTTTCTATCAGACCAGAAGAAACTGAAGTTCATATGCAAGAGGCACAGTAGACATCATCCTCTAAAAAACGCTAAGAAAAAAAAAAAAAAAACCACTCGATCCATTTGGATCCCAAACCAGTCCCTCGATCCAGAGGGACTGATGCGTCCCTCCCAAAGGGACAGGAGTTCCGTGTTATGTTAATTTAAATCAGAAATACACTACTCCATTATACAAACAGAAATATTCAAACCACCCTACAAGCAGCTTGCTAGCCCATGAGTAAACTAGATTTCATTTTGTTTCATCATTTCATTGATACTCAGCATATTCTATTTCAAAGAAGCTAAACCAACCATTACCTTTAAAAAAAAACCCCAAACTTAAATTGAAAATATTCTTTCACTCAAAGTCAATCCCCTATATGCAATTTCCTTGGTGTTGGGCTCTTCATGGAGGAAGCAAATCAAACCATAATCTTTAGAGAATGCTCTAACAGTCTCTGTTAGTTGATGTCAATTCTGCAGTACCCTGCTTATGGTCTCTTTCCTATCACAAGCCTTGAATACTTTTCTGTATGAGTTCATCATCAGCAAACAATTGTCTGAGTAAGACTGGTGGAGTTTGGTTACATGTAAAACAATGCAAGCCTAGAAGTAAGAAGTTGCAAGAAGAAACGTGTATTTTGTTAGCTCCACTGCTCTGACTACGTAATGTGCAGTACAATTATTCTTCTATGACATTTATGTTGAAAATAAATTCCTGGATTTGCTTCAGCTATGGAAGTTTAACCTCACCAGGTTTCCTCTTTGCTCTATATATAAGGCAAGAGGCCACAAACTACACAGACAACCGAAAGACAAGAAAAAATGGTAGTTTTAAAAAACCAGCACCTGAGGTTAGACTTCCTGTAAAGAGCGTGATGAAATAGCAATAGTAACACTTTGGGCTCCTCACTTTTTGTATGTGGACTGTTGTACTGGGTTCCATGAAAACCACAAAGGAAAAGAGCACTTCACCTTATGAGAAGAGGACTGGGAAAATATAGGATGGTTTGTACTTACCAAGAAAAATAGCAGTACATGTAAAAATGCTAAATTAATGCAGCATAAGTAGAAGATTTCTTCCTGATACTTCATATTACAACAGTTTTTGAGTATGGAAAAAACACACTACTATTCAGTCTTTATGTATACAGACAGCACTTCGCACTTCCTTGCTGCAGTGAAGAGGGTGGCCAGTAGATATCCTACAGAGCTGCTCTCTTTATGCGGCAAAAATAGCATATGTACAAAAAAACATTTTATTAAAGGTTGTACTAATCTGTCTTACTAAGGTTCATTCTTAGGCTATAACTCTAACATGACCTATACTGACTAAGAATTTATACGTTTTCTTTTTAAATATTAAAGCTAAGATTTCCAATGCCAAATGAAAAAAAGATCTGATAATTTCACTTTATTGCACAGAAGAAGGAAAAGTATTTTGTGCATTCTCCCTGTTACTTAAGTAACAGTAAGTTATTTAACAGACAACTGTAAAACCAACTACCAAAAAAGTAAACAAGTAAGCAATTTAAAAATTTAACCAGTCAGGGACAGGATGTGACCGGTGAACAGTTGGCCCAGAAGGATTCTTTCTCTCCTACTTCAATAAAAACCAAGGAGCTGTAATACTCTGAAGTTAAATTTAACAAGTACAGAGGATTTCCAACTCTTCATTATTTTTTTCCCTGTTGTTTAAAGACCCTGCACACACACTCTTACAGCATTGGGTGAATAATACCAATTTGATCAATAGAACAATTATACCAAACCTGTCCACTATTAAAACCAGCAGCATTTCATTGCACACACAAAAATCCATGAAAAAGCCCTCTCTCCATTCCATAGTAATTCACTAATAATACAGTAGATGTCACTAAATATCAAGGAAATAATTTAGCTCAATGACAGTTGATTGCATATAGTAACTAGGGCTAACATAAGCATTAGATCAAAACTGGTTTTATCATTATTATTTACATATTACCAAAAGCTTCCTGTAGGCAGCATCAGGCAGGATGTTCTATTATTTAACCAGTTCTTGCACTGCAGTCACCTGATGCCGAAGAATTGTTTGTAAGCATTTTAAGTTTTCTTTCCAGAGAAGCTCAGAAATATGATGGGAATTATCCTCCTACATGTCATGAATGCCTTTGAAAATTCTACCATTCAATTTCTATCACCTGGCTGTAAAACGATAACCTAAGAATGGAAAATGGCCTACAGCCTTGAAGAGAATTTAAGAACTCAAATACATGGTTCATGTTACTGCTCAGAAACAGCCACACAGTGCAATCCTTTTAAATCTACATCATATCAACATGTGATAAAGGTCCCATAAATAAGGCTGAGGTACTTAATGCTTCTTTGCCTTAGTCTTCAAGAGTAAAACTGGTTGATCTCCAGATGCCCAGCCCCCTAAACTGGAAGACCAGGTCAGAGAGCAGAAGGAAGCCTCCATAATCCAAGGGGAAATGGTTAGTGACCTGCTACACCACTTAGACTCACACAGGTCTATGGGACCAGACAGGAACCACCCAAAGGTAGTGAGGGAGCTGGCAGAAGCACTCACCAAGCCACTTTCCATCATTTACCAGCAGTCCTGGCTAACTGGGGAGATCCCAGTTGACTGGAGGTGTGATGTCTGTCTAAAGAAGGGCCAGAAGGAGAAGGATCTGGGGAACTACAGGACTGTCAGTCCAACCTCAATGCCAGGGAAGGTTATGGTGCAGATCACTTTGAGTGCCATCACATGGCACGTACAGGACAACCAGGTGATCAGGCCCAGCCAGCATGGGTTTATGAAAGGCAGGTCCTGCTTGATGAACCTGATCTCCTTCTATGACAAGGTGACCCACTCAATGGATGAGGGAAAGGCCATGTATGCTGTCTACCTATATTTTAGTAAAGCCTAAGATACAGTTTCCCACGGCATTCTCCTGCAGAAACTGGCTGCTCGTGGTTTGGACAGACATACATTTTGCTGGGTAAAATGCTGGCTGATGGCCGGGACCCAAAAGCTGTGATGAATGGAATTAAATCAGTTGGTAGCTGGTCATAAGTGGTGTTCCCGAGGGCTCAGTACTGGGGCCAGTTCCGTTTCACATCTTTATCAGTGACCTGGACAAGGGAATCGAACACACCCTCACCAAGTTTGCACACAACACCAAGTAAGCCAGGAAGGTTGATCTGCTGGAAGGAAGGCTCTGCAGAGGGATGTGGACAGGCTAGATCGATGCGTCAAGACCAACTCTAATGTGGTTCAACAAGGTCAAGTGCTAGATCCTGCACTTAGGTCACGATAATCCCATGCAATGCTACAGGCCTGGGGACAAGTGGCTGGAAAGCTGTCCGGCAGAAAAGGACATGGGGTTGTCGCTTGACAGGCAGCTGAATCTGAGCCAGCAGTGTGCCCAGGTGGCCAAGAAGGCCAATGACATCCTAGTCTGCATCAGGAACAGAGAGGCCAGCAGGACTAGGGTAGCGATTGTCCCCCTGTACTCGGCACTGGTGTGTTCAATTTGAGGCCTCTCATTACAACAAAGATGTTGAGGTGCTGGAGTGTGTCCAAAGAAGGGCAACGAAGCTGGTGAAGGGTCTGGAGCACAGGTCCTGTGAGGAGCAGCTGAGGGAACTGAGGTTGTTCAGGGAGGAGAAGTAGAGGTTCAGGGGAGACCTTATCACTCCGCAACTAGCAGAAGGGAAGTTGTAGTGAGATGGGTGTGAGTCTCTTCTCCCAAGTAACAAGAATAGGACAAGAGGAAGCAGATTCAATCTGCAGGACAGGTTTAGATTGGATGTTAGGAAAAATTTGCCAAAAGTGTTGTCAAGCATTGGAACGGGCTGCCCAAGGAAGTGGTTGTGTCCCACCCTGAAGGTGTTTAGAAGATATGTAGATGTGGTGCTTGGGGACATGGTTTAGTGGTGGACTTGGCAGTGGTAGGTTAATAATTGGCCTTGATGATCTTTGTCTTTTCCAACCTTAACGATTCCATGATCCTATTCTTTCATTAGTATGAAAACTAAACATTTGCAGTAGATCTGAACACTGTAACGCTCTCATTTCTTTACGAATTTACCTTTGTTTTTTCTAAATTGGCCTCTTCTGCCATTTGCACAGCTTGTTTAACTTGCTCACAAGCATTAGATTCTCTTTGCTGCATCTCTTTCATGTTTCGTCTCAGTGAAACAAGTGCACCCATCAAGTCATCTCTTTCTCTGCATATAAAGAAAAAACAGATATTACTTCCATTATTTTTCTCAAGAGACAAATAACCCAACAGGTATATCAAATACAAAATGATAACAGATAAAAGATGTAAGGATGGTAAGTGAAGCAAGACTAAAACCAGCATGGGTTAAGAGTGAAAGACAACATACTGCTGGCTTGGCAGATATTAAGAATATCATTTGCTTGATGACTAATCCTTCAATTCAGAAGGATGGACCATGAGTGAAACTGCCAGCAATGACAGCAGAGCTCAAGTCATAAATATAGTGGAGCTGAGCAACACTCTCTTGACACTGGAAAATGGGGAACCAAGTTGAAAACAAACTAACCAACGCACCCACCCAAAAAAGGCAAGTCTCTGAAAAGAGATTGAAGCAATAGGAAATTACACTGTCTTTCAACGTAAAATAGGGAGAAAAATATAAAAGAAAGGATTAGGTTCAACACATAATTCAGATCACTAAGTATATCAAATGAAAACCAAGAGCCCTTTACTGCAAACTAGAACTAAACCAATAAGACTTCCAGATCCTACATCCTCTCTGAACTTTTCTTAGCTATGAAATTGAGATATATACCAAACAGTGAAGCACAGGCAATAAAACTCTAATACTTAACTTCAGGTTTTCATTATTTTGATATATTGAAAGCTTTTAAATTAAGAGTATAATTGCCTGTGTTTTAGGTGCAATTAGAGTTTCTGGTTGAAAACTGTTGTGGGTTGTTTTGGGTGTGGTGTTTTTTGGTGGTTTTTTTTTTTTTTCTTTGTGATGTGTGGAATGGTAACACCATTGTATTTGCCAGAGAACTAACAATCATATTTTGAAATTTTATTTCAAGAGGATTTGGACAAAGTGCCTTTAAAAAAATTCCTACTGTTATATCTTTCTTTTTAAGAAGCTGCATCACAGGAACATGTAAGCTTTCAGATTTTGCCAAATCTCAAACTGAAATAACAGTTTAAGAAAGGTAAATAGGTCAGCTCAAATCTTTTATTTCAAAGTGCATTATAATACAAGATGACAAGAATGCACCGATTTATAGTTTCTTCATATTTTCCAGTGCCTGTGACAAATAATAATCTGAATTTTTGAAACATGACTTTTCAGCAACAGAGAGCTTTCCAAGAAAATTCTTGGACTTGACAATAGAAAAATACATAAGTCCTGGCAACAGCCACCCAATGTGTAGAGATATTATCTATTTGAGATACTATATGTACTATGTCCCTTCAGCATTCTTGCTTCTAATTGACCCACTACATCTTCTCCAGCAGGCTCATTATAAAACTTCAGAAATCCAAAGAGGCTTTGGATATCTGACAATAAATAGATGTCTTTCCAACAAACTGAGACAGCTGTAGTATCCTATCATTTTACTGCCAAGTAGAAAGGGAGAGATTTTTGAAGACTGACCAGCAGAATTTCTTTAAGAAAAAAACAAGACAACATTTTAATGCTGTTGGAATTTCTGATTTATATGTATTATATTCAGCCTGCACAGCTGGGGGTTTTATAATCATTTATTTAAAAGTTACAATTAAAGCAAGGCTGCAGCAAATAATTTAATTTCGTTTTCTCCAAAGGAACTTTCTTCCCTGATTTACTGTAATTAGGGAAGAGCAATGCATCCTATCCCAAACATCAGCAAATTCAAGGGTGTGTGTGGGGAAAAAAAAAAAAAAAAAAAAGAAGGATTACACTGGTAATATATCCTAGAAGTTCCCCAAATGTAAAGCAATTAAAGTAGAGCCAGAAAACCTTCCAACTACAGAAAGATAAGGAACTTCTGGATGAAATAATCAATAAAAAATATGGTCTTCCATAATATTTATTCCGATAGTGAAGGGTTTGTTTTCATAAAAAGTGCAGGAAACAGTGTTAATCATCTGGACAGCACAAGGTATCATCATTACAAGATAATGACAAACATTCTTTCCCAGCTGAAAAAAGTATCAAAGCCATTTCAAAGTGGTTGGGACCTACACTAATATTCTACCACTGATTTTAGCATTGTAACTTCAACTTGCAAGTCCACTATTCTGTAAACACACATCTCTCTATGGATGTAACCCAACACTTGGAAAGTTACATGGTTTAATGCAAGCAACAGTACTACCAATGAGAAAGTTTATGCCTCCCAACCTACTTTGTTACCCTCTCGATGGTCTGCATGTGAACATTAGAATGAGTCTGTGCAAGAACTGCCTCATGTTGTGCACATTTCAGACACAGACCACCAACCCGGCTAGAATTTGCAGCTGAAACGAGTGACTTGTGGTGTTTTAGCCTTCCTTCCAAATCTTTGCATGTCTTCTGAGATTCTGAAAGGTCTTTTCTAGAAAGAAAAAAATTAAAAAATATTATTTGAGCAATCAAATATTTCTACAAGTTATATTTATAAGCAATACATAATTACAAATGCAACCTAGAAAGTACTGTAAGAGACTCTGTAATTAACATTATTTTACACATTTCAGTAAGCTGAGGAAGACTTCAACAGAGAAATAATAGTTGAACTGATCAACTAAAATCATTAATGTAACATTGGTTTGTATGTTGCTTTGCTCCTTCCCTCCATAGTATCAGAAAATAGTGAAGTTACACAGAAGATTATTAGATAAAACTCGCAGGCCTACATAGAGTCTGAACAGAATAAAGGATTCATTATTAGCAAGAAACACTATCATCTGTATAAATATTTCAATACCCTAACATTTTTTCTGCTGTTCTAACTAATAATATCACTAACTTCAAATTTCTCCTCTATTCTCAAATTAACTGTAAAGTTACAATACAAAGTCCCTTATGCTCCTCAGACAAAAGCAGGATGTATTCAGCACATTCCCTCTGATCCAGCAATACACAGAAATTTGAGGTCAAGTGCGTCTCCAAAAAAAATCAGGGTACTTTTTTTACATGTCTCTAGAATTTTTACCATGTGCTCTAAATAATTTTCTCCAGAATTTCCAAGCATCTGTCAGGCCAGGAAGAGTGCAAGCAGAAGGAATGCTGACATCAGGAAGTTCCAGACAAACACACACTGTGCACGTATAGATCAATGTGACAAATTGTGCGATGCATCCAAAGCTTTTGGTTTGTTATGCAGGCCATCTGGGCAGCACTCACATAGTAAGTCTGACACATTCTGGTTGCATTGGATTTACTGTGCACATATATACTCTGCATGGATACTTATTTCCATCTGTGAAATCTTCTGTGCACTTTTTCCAATTTTAGTAGTTGGTCTATTAAATATAATCCACTATAACCTGAGAAGAATTTGCTCTGCATATATCCTTAGACAGCCATGGACCAAAAAAACCTATTGTTGGGAAATCTTGGACAGAAATCAGCGAGTCCTATGTAATTTCATGCTTAAAGTTAAAAACAAGGATATATAATTTCTCACTTCAATTAAAATTTAGCAATTGCTCAAGTGCTTTGCAGTAGTTAACAGTTTGAAAGATCATGCCCCTTAGGGGAAATCAAAAGCCTGAATAATATACTTGTGGAAATTTTCAGACTATTTTTGCCTCTGGTATTTATTTCTGATAATATATTACATTTGAAGTCAAGTGGAGAAAAAAGATAATGGATTATGAATCTGAAATTTAAGATCCTCCTTTACTTTCACCAGCCCAATTGTCTTTGCACGTTTAAGATTTCACCACTACCGAGGTCATATTTAAATTAGTCTCCCTACCAGTAACTCTTTTTACACACAGAAAAGCCTTAAATTTTCAGATATATGTTTTTCCCTGAGTAAATTGTGGCTTCATAATTAAACAGATTCAGCAGCAGTACCATGAATGCAGGTGTAGAGGGAGAAGTCTGCTCCTGAAAAACAAATCCCAAAGTGGTTGCCTACACCTCTGTTTTTCCATGGCTTTCTACCTATTCAAACCTTTAAGATTTTCAGGAGTATATGAGGACTTACTTTTCAAATACTTGTGTGTTTAAATATATGCAGATTACATGACTGAAAACACTGTCTGCATGCCTCCAAACAATGTTTTCCTGCTCCAAAATCATTGTGTGTCCTGAACTAGTTCAATGCATAAGACTTCTGAAATTTATCATGTAAAATAATAGTAGAATAGAACTCATTATGGAAGAGCTCACAGGTTAGAATTTTAACTTCTCTTTTTTTCTTTGTTTGGTCTACCTTAATAGACACGATGATTCTATAAAGAAAAAGGGTAAAAGGGATAAAAACATTTTATATCAAGTTGATTGCTATAAATACAATAATCCAACTGAGTTCATATATCACTACAGTGTTGCTATGTAGCAGCAGTACATTCAGTTTTGCTACATTCATATTTGAGAAAACTTCATGTAGAACCAGGTTTCAGGGCCACTACTAGAAAAAATGACATTTAGACATTCAGGTATTCTCTCCCTTAAATCCAAATTAAAAGTGACTCACGCAGTTATGCAGTGGTAATTTAGTAACAATAATTTTAAGCAAAACAATAAACATTTCACTTTACCTTAGAGACTGTATTTGAGCATCAAGGATATTGACTTTTTCTTGATAAAGAAGTTTTAGTTTCTCCTTTAGAAAAAAATGGCAGAAAAGTGTTGTTTGCTTTCTTCATAATATTGTCTTTACAAACAAATCTAGATGTTAGCCACATTCATTCTTTTCTCTTGAAGATACAAACTTGTTGAAATGATAGCGTCAGGTAAATCTAAACATTTCACACTTGAAAGACTTCATTTCTATGCATCTTGCCAGATTCTCATATGGTAAATTGCTTCAGTTCCAATTGCGGACCTTTACTACAGTTTACACAAATTGATGATCTCATCTCAATTTTGCTCTTACTCTCCCACAAGTCAGCAGAAATAAAAGGAATCCTGAAGAACTTCAAGTAGAGAAGCTATTTTTTCATAATACAGTGTGTTGCCCTTATTACTTGGTGAAGCGCCAAGCACCACACCAATGTTAAATACAATGGGGATAACAAACCAGATGAACCACAGCTACACTTCTGGTGCTTTAATTATGACACTTAGAAAGAAGTCACAATCAACATGATTCTCTTGCTTTAAATATGGTAGATGAAGTCGCAATTACTCTAAAAACTAGGTTTCAAATAACTGCTGGCATTAGGAATCACTGAAGAGGTTTTCAGTTCTAGATAATGCGCTAAACCAACAAAAATAAATTTTACTGGAGAAAAAAATACATATAATTACCCTGAAGAATTAAAGTACTGTTTAAATTCCACAGCACACATATGCACATGGATAAAAAACTTCAATATTTCAGTCAACCATGTTTTTGCCCAGAAGACAGCAATGCTACACCATTAGAGAGACAAAAATTTCGAAGTATCTTTCCAAACTAAAAATACAGAATAGAGACGACAACATCCTCCTCAAATCACTGGGGCTTCTGTTTATTTAACAGCACAAAATGGGTAATTCAGCACAGGAAAAAACAAAACAAAACAAAACAGACTGTTCAAAGCTACTTTTGTATCTTACTAAGCCTGCACTGCTCCAGGAACAGACAGACTCATTGCAGAAGAACTTGCCTGGAGGGCTACCTAAATTACATCAGCTAGTTCCCACCTGCTTCTGCACTGTGTTACTGTTAAGAATCTCCAAAGTACAGTGGAACCATCACTGACAGGACATTCTGAAAAACAGACGTCTCTGGGAAGTCAACATCTGCAGATACAACCTGCCATCTGCGTCTAACAAGATCATAATATCAATTAGGGTATAATGAGAAGATGAGGTTTAAGAGAATAAAATTTGACCTCAGATTAAGGTTCAGTCAACCGAAAGTCCTCCTGTATGTCTGTTACAAAATTAGTCAAGAGAACTGCAGCAACAACAAAGCACTGAATGCTTTTGCAAAGGTATGACTCTGCAAAGAAAGTTAATACCCACCAGTTCTACAGGCCATTTTTCTATTTCTCCAACGGCTGCTGAAACAAAAGTCTGATATTTGTTATGTGCTGGTGATGAGGTGACAGGCTGATGCATGCTACAGTCATTACCACCTACAGGCCAGGAGTTCTGAGTATTTGCCTAAAATAAAAATATTAATGCTTCAGTTATAATTATGTAGGCTGTTGTTTAAACAAATGTTACTTACATAAGAAGTATTGAATCTTATAATTTTCATTACAGTAAAACCAATAAACAAATTAATTAGGTTGGCAACCTACAAGGATGATGTTATCCACAAAAATCCACATTTATAAACTCTCATTAATTTTTGACTAAAACTCATTTTGTGGACAACCATTTATATAGTGTTCCTTAAAAAGAATCACAGAGTGGTTTGGGTT